AGACAAAGACCCGAGAGTCCCAAACCCATAGATTACAATCATCACGGTTTAGGGTTTAGGGTTTAGGGGTTAGGGGTTTGGGGTTTAGGGTTCAGGGTTCAGGGACTTAGAGCATCTTGTTCGCGTGCGATTTGGAAACACTCGAAACACCCCACTGTGTATCTTATAATCAGTCCCTGGCTTCGGCGGCTTCAATAGTAAATACCCCTTTCCTTACTTCTCCCAAAGCCAAGGAAATAAAAGGTTAAACNNAACTTTCAGACTACTACTAAACTATAAGAACTCGAAAAGTTTAAAGGTTGGGTATTGGGGAACCAACTTTCGAAGAGCACGGGGATGTCTGAAAACCGCCCATCTCATGAATCCGCGACCTTCTTCCTTTAACCTCAAAACCCCTGTCAAAACCATGCCGGGGCTCCGAGAAGATAGCCAAACACCCTATAGTGAACCCCAGGAAGTTGGAACAAGGATTTAGGATGATTAATGCTGGGATTCCCTCTGCTCTACCCTTAGGTCATGAGGATAATGCTGTTCCAACTTTTGGCTTCTACTATAGTAGCCGGAGAATGTGGCACCATGCTGCAGAACAGGCACAAGTTCTTGGCTGCTGGCGTGCCGGAGGAATTCATGGAGTGCTGCAGGAAAGAAACTTTCGCCTGAGATGCTTCGCCAAGCTCACCGAAGTCCATTGGGGGGTTTCCGAAAACAGAGGACCCTAACATAGTACCCTAAATACTAGGATCCTTTTTATTATAAGGAGCTCATAAAGGTACCCCTCATTTTCGGAAACTCCCATTCGGGTGTAGTGAGAAGGCTTCGAGGATTGAGCCTTAGTGTTGAAATCATCCCGTTTAGGCTGAGTACGGTCTGGCATTCGGGGTCTAGGCGAAAGGAAACTACAGGTGGGGAGTTTAGGGTATATAGGGCTTCTATAAGGCTTATATAAGGTATATAGACCTTCTATAAGGCTCCTATAACGGTAGCTACCCACCTGAAAATGTCCTCGACTAGGCTTGGTGAGGATTTGTGACTTCGTACCCTTGTAGTTCCGTGAAGCTGATGCAGAGGCTAAACGATCTAGGAGCTTAGGGTTTAGGGTTTAGACTCCGCTGGTCCTTGTGGTCATGGAATCGAAGCCCAGACTTTCGAAATCTTAGTTGCTGAGTTCATGAGCCCCCAAAGGTGCACACTTTCAGTTCTATAAGGGGTCCTATAATCCCAAAAAAATGTTTAAAGTGTACTCATCCAGCTACCAAGAAATAGCTACAGGTACGTGCACTGCAGTCGTGCTGAGGTCACACTGACTAGAACCTCCAAACAAGAGACTCCAATACCCCCTAATTTAATTAAGGAATAGACCTTAAATTATAGTAGGATCCCTAATAAGATTCAAGGTATATTCCTTAATTAAAGGGTATTGGAGTCTCTGGGAACTGACGACCCCAAGTTCGCCAAACTAATACTCTAGAGCTTCTTCTTTAGACATAATGTAGGGGCCCGAATAATCAGAATAGGACTTTGGAGTCCGCTGTACTGTAATTATAAGAAGGAACCCCCAAACTAGTATAGGTAATTCTCTAAACCCCTAAATTAAGCCCTGAACCCTAAACCCTAAACCCTACTCCCTAATCCCTAAAACCCTAAACCCTAAACCCACAACCCATAGCCGCCAGCCCCAGCCCTGAAAGCCTCTACACTGAACCTCCCAGCCTGTTTGTTGCAGCCCCCTTGAGAATTAACGGTTTAGGGTTTAGGGTTTAGGGTTTAGGGTTTAGGATCGCTTTAATGGGGTCCCCCCCCAACACTACCTAGGATTACGGCTTGTTTAAGGGATCCTTCGGGGTTCTACCAGGCGCTTCAGGTTCGGAGTTTGGCGGTGTAATATGGGGGCCTGAATAGTTAGAATAGGGTTTGGGATTCCTTTAAGGGTTCCTTAAAGGGTTCTATAAGGGATCTATAACAGGGTTCTATGATATAGGGGCCTGAGCAATTAGAATAGGGTTTGGGCTTCTATTATGCCATAATTACAAGAAGGAACCCGCAAAGCCCTATTGAAACTGTCAAGGTTATTAAGCCTAAACCCTAAACCCTAAACCCTAAACCCTCCTACGTTACTCGGAGGTAGGCTTGGTCTAGCATCGCACTTAGGGGAAACCCCCTTCACGCTGTTTCAACATAGGCCGAGGCAGTCGTAGCTCCGATATGCTTTGACGGTTTAGGGTTTAGGGTTTAATCGTTTTTTCGTGTCATAGGGCTCTGACCACAGAATTGGCTAACTTCTAAAACCACTTAAGCAACTATGTTGGAGACTATAGGTAGTCGCCCCGCAACCTCTGACATCTCAAAGCCCTTTGGCGATGGGAACCTCAAGCGGAAGTGCGTGTCACCCCGTCGCCCGATGCACGCATTGCAACCCGAACGCACAGTCACAGACTACGGTTTTGGGGGTCTTGCACCTGAAGCGTATCCTGCTGCAGGCTCCCCGAAATTGGCGTCTGCTAAGGAGGGGAGCATGCAAGCAGGATCCGCCGTAGGCCGCATTATCATCTTCATGAAGGGATGGGTGCGTAATCACCAAGGTTATTTCGCCTACCCACAAAGGCGAAAGTTTGGTCGCGGCGCACCTGCTGAAGCCAAAAGACGAAAAAACCCTAAACCCTAAACCCTAAACCCACTAAACCCATCTATCCCAGCGAACGAACGCATCGGGTCCCGCACGGCTTCATGCACCGGGAGCAGCAGTGAAGCCTGGACGAGGAGGCCCAGCATTCTGGGCACCTGCCGTCAGACAAGTAATGGGTTTAGGGTTTAGGGTTTAGGGTTTTGGTTTAGGGTTTAGGCTTTAGTGTTTAGGCTTTAGGGTTTTGGGTTTAGGGTTTAGGGTTTAGGGACCCACAAGGCTTACGGTGCAGGCGTTAGAGTCCTGGACTTGGGTGCACCCACAGTCTTGTATGGTTCGAGTTTCACAACACAACAAGATGGAAGGTAACGATGCAATGAAATTAAATTGGATATTATAGCCTTAGCCGATTATAGCCCCGCCCTAGGTAGTTCTTGGAGTTTAGAAATTGAAGTAAACTGAGAATCAACCAGGGTGGTACAGCCCCGGACCATCCGTCAAACCACTGCAATCGTTGGCAAACCTCGCAGAACACCATGCCTTTGTCAAGCTTTTCAAAGAGCAGCAAAGCTTTGTCATATCCCACATTGCGGAATCTTTTTTGGCTCTTGGACGTAGTTGATCGGGGCAAGCGTGCTTCCTGGTTTGAAACATCTATACATTTCAATCAGTTTAGGGAGGTCGGGTATCCACAAAGCCGATACCCTTCACTTGAAATGTTGAATGAAGTCTATTCTTCAGCATATTCACAAATTTCTATTCGGAGGCACGACCCCTTGATTTATTTTACGGGAAAGTTTGGCTATTTGGCTTCTTAGGTTGGGCTTCGCAAGTCAGGGCCTTTCCGGGCAGGGTTCTCGCAAGAGCACGAAGGCTGGGATGCAATGCTGGATACAACGAGCCGGAAAACAAGCACCGCAAGGAACAGAGTAGGGTTTAGGGTTTAGGGTTTAGGGTTTAGGGTTTAGGGTTCCGGGTGGATGGCAACTTGTTGAAGAGGAGCTGGTGCTGCAAGGGAGATTGCCTCAAGTTGACCCCATGCCTGAAAAACCCTGGGCGTAGGAGCCAGGGACATGAAGTCGGGTGCCGGAATAACATCCTGGCACCCTCAACCCTCAGCGTCAACTAAAGCTTTACAACCCAGATCCAAAACACGATACCCTAAACCCTAAACCCTAAATCCTAAGCCCTAAACCGTAAACCCTAGCTAAACCCTAAACCCACGAGTTCAACCCGAGATCTGGGACTTTGCCCTCGCGTTGGCCGACCCCGTCCGTAGAATTCAGAGGCAAAGCATGGCCGTTGTCGACCCTTAGGAAGATCATCTATGGGGTTTAAGGCTTTAAAGCAATAAATGAAAGATTATATGTAAGGAATTATGAGTATGGCTACTGTGACCACTGTCAAGTCTTTGACCAAAACTGCGACTCGTAAACCCGCATGCCTAAACTCCGAACCACTGAACCTAATCTCTGAACCCTCAACCGCGAAAACCGGAACTTCTGTCTAAGGTGGCTCCGACAGGAAACAAGATCCCCCCACAATAGAATAAACCCGCATGCCCTGCAATAATTCCTCGAAAATTAGGGGTATTATTTAGGGTACTATATTAGGGTCCCCTATTTTCAGAAACCCCCAAATCAGGATCCCTACACCTCCCCAAACTCTATAAAATTCGTTACTGGTGCTGCCCAGGCCCTGAAAGTAGGCAACCATAGGCAACCATTTAACCTAGGTAATTAGGCCATCTGATCTAAGCCCTTCAAAACGCCTCGCGAACGCATGCAGAGCGCTACAATGCTCTCATAAACAAATTCCCCCTGTGACACTCTATATCAGAAAAACCTGAATCTTAAGCTCTAGAGAAACCCTGAAACCTAAGCCCTACACTTAACCTACCAAAACCCTCTTTTTTGTGGGTTCTCATTAAAGACCCTAATATGGGATTTATAGGCATCCTACAAAAAAGTAGGTTCTGGTGGGTTAAGGTAGACGCCCCAAAATGACCCGGATCTCGCCTTTGGGCGCTGTGGCCAGCACCGCGTCTGCATTCTTTTCCGGATCCAAGGGAGTCTAGGACCCATCCCGAGCCAAGAAGCACGAATATTTGGGGGTTTAGGGGTTTAGGGTTTAGGGTAAGAAGAAGCACGAATATTTGGGGGGTTAGGGGTTTAGGGAATTCGGGGATCCAAGGGGGTCTAGGACTCATCCCGCAACACACACGAATGTGTGGCACGGTTATGGGGTTAATCTAAGGGCCTTAATAATTAGACTGGGTTTTTTGGAAACCATTGTGCTAAAATTGTAATAAGGAGCCCCCAAATTAGTATAAGTAACGAATATCTGGAATTCGGGGTTACGGGGCTAAAAGGTTTGGGGTTTGGGTTCGGGGGTTTGGAATTTAGAGTTTTCAGATAATCGAGGATCCGAAAAAAACGCCAGGGATCCGGATTGCAAAAACCTCCGTTTCAGGAACTCCAGGTATAATAGGAGCCCACAGTCATGCAGTAGACCCCTGATGAAGCTTCTTCATTGGATTCTACAGTCCGTACAACAGGACGAGCGCATGAATCAGGGGTCCACCCTAAGCCCTAAACCCCAAAAGCCTTAAACCCCAAACCCTAAACCCTAAACCCTCAACCCCAAGCCCTAAGCCCTAAACTCTAAACGCTAAACCCTAACCTTGAATCTTACACCCCAAAGGCCGACACTGGAAGAAACACTGCAGAAACACGCGACAGGCAAACCCAGAAGCCCAGATGGAAACCGGAAGAAGTCACCCAAATCCACGTGTTTAGGCTTTAGGGTTTAGGGCTGTAGGGGCCGACATAAATAGAATAAGGTTTGGGGGGTTCCTTATTATAACTGAAGTATATTATACCCCAGCCCGATTCTAATTATTAAGGCCCCTGTATTACAGGGCCCTCACAATCTGAGTAAGGGTTGGGGATGTACTATAGTACGTTTGCAGTAAGGAAACCTACATAACACAGTACTTTACTCATTGCTTACTTATTATGAATGCGGACATCGATCAACAACTTACGCGGCAGTTCACAGTTGGCAGTCATGTAGTTCTTACCCCCTCAGCACGAAAGCTACCACCACAAAACCCCTACAGGTGAGCTACGGAACCTCTTTGCGCAAAATGTATGCCCAAAACAACCTATAAATAAGCTAAAGGAAGCAAGCCCAGGGACCTAGGCTGAAGACCACAATCCGCAATCCCTCCAACATCGCAGCTACAAATATCTGAAACAAAACCCCAAAACGTATCATACAAAACCTACACAAACACACAGGAGCCTAAACCCCAAAACCCTAAACCCCAAAACCTGTAAACACCAAGGCCCCAAAACCCTATTCCCTAAACCCTGAACCCCAAGCCCCTTACAGCTCGGGTTTAGGTGCCAGGTGTTTTGTGACAATCCCCACATTCCTAAGGGCCCGGCTCGCTCTGATATGACGTGGGCAGCAACTCGTGGCCTTAGTTCGGTGGAAGTTTGGAGTCAGTCAGGGTGTAGGGGGTGTAGGGGGCGCAGGGTTTAGGGTTTAGGGTTTTAGGGCTTTAGGGCTTAAGGGTTAAAGGGTTTAGGGTTTGGGGTAGGAAACTACAGGTGGGGAGTTTAGGGTATATAGGGCTTCTATAAGGCTTCCAGAAGGTATGTAGACATTCTCTCAGGCTCCTATCACGGTAACTAGCCACCTGAAAATGTCCTAAATTTCTCTGAGACTCCAACGGGGTTTGGGGTCGTGGGCTTTCGGGATTTGGGGCGTTTTGGGGGTTACGGCTTGGGGTTTGGGGTCCTGGCGTTTCAGTGTCTTATGGTTTCAGGGTTTGGGTTTTAGGGGTTGTTTAGGGGTTCGGGTCTCTGGGTGCAGGGCCTACCCTAACTTGAGGGTTGAGGGTTTTAGGGTTCAGGGTTTTAGGGTTTAGGGTTTGAAAAACTTAGACCAGATGCTTCAACAGAACGGGGATTTCAAATCACACCTGGTAGCTGCGCCGACGCGCCAGCCAGAGTAAATCCGCCGCTTTCTGCAACATACCGTCGGGAGCACATGGCAGCCTTAAAGCAAAATCTTAACCCTAAACCCCATCACCCCCTAATCCTAAACCCCTCTAACCCAAAGCTATGTGTTTTGGTTTGGTGCTGGGGTTTAGAGCTTGGGGTCTAAAAGTTTGGGCTAGACACTCCAAGTCACTCAGGTTTAAAGGAAAAGTAGTTTATCCAGAGTATAGGCATAGGCCAGAAGCCACTTAGACCCCAGAAAAAAAGCGTGTGGTAGGGAGGATTATCTGCGGGCATTAACTTACCGCAGAAAGCTTGCTTCAGGATTTCATGATCTACAGATTGCGAAGATGTAAGACTATTGGCATTGGCATACAGGGTATACGGGCGGCCGTAGATGGCAAGTTACATCTGAAACCCAAAGACAGCAAATCTCCAACTTCACTGGGTAGCTGGGGGGGCCCTGTCAAGCAACTCTATACTGAACCCTAAACCCCTAAAAACCTAAATCCTAAACCCAAAGCCCTAAACCCTGAATACTAATCTTTAAAGCCCTTCTTTTTCTCTTAGGTGCGCGTTTGGCCACTGAGCCCTCCGGCCAATGACGGCATTGCTGAGCGTCGACTTGCCACCTGGTTCTCTCGGTGGAGGCTTTTCTGGGTGTAGGGGTTTGGGGTCAAGGGGGTTTAGGGTTTAGGGTTTAGGGGTTTAGGAGTTTAGGGTTTAGGGTTTAGGGTTTCTAGGGGTTTGGGATTAGTGTTTAAGGACTAGAGTTCAGGTTTCTGGGATTGCAATCTGGGTTCCATAAGGGTCGAAATACCCCGAAGCGCTTGTCCTACTGCAGAACGGGTCTTCTTGAGGGTCGGGAGACATAGCAAGTAGGTGATAAGTAGACTTATAAGTACCCCAAAAAGGGA